TTCTCCAAGACTTTTGGGAGGCGTTGATCGCTTTGCGCTTGGAGTAATCCTCCATAACTAGATGGGAAGGGAAACAACTGAACAGGATTCTATAAATGTGTTCGTAGTACGTCTGACGGGGAAGCACCTTTCTTTCATTTGAAAATTCTGTAGGAATCCCTTTTATAATTCCGTCTCTCCAATTTCTAAAACCGAGAACAAAAGCTTCTAATCCTTGTATCTGCAAGTCTTTGTCGTTAATGAAAAGATTGGCGTCATTGTTTTTCAAATACTTATACTTTACACTGACCTTTCTTACATTTTTTGAAGTGAAAATTTCTAACTTTCCAACTTAACTAAGCAATGATAACTTTGTGGCTTGGTTTTGATTGTTTTAACCAAACTTCAAAAGGTCTATGGTTAATAAGATTGAAAGGAACGTCAGTTTTCGAGAAATCAGAAGGAACTGCATTGACTGAAATGTTTTGGAGGCCTTGTCAGGAATATCATTAACGTCGTCATTAATATAGAATTCTCGTTCTCTTCGATTTCGATCGAATGGTCTTCACGAATGATCCATCCATGTTTTCGTCACCCATAATTTTATTTCACCCCTCGACTCCCGTAAAAACCGGGGTATTTTGATGGCAGCAGCACCTGACCGTCTAGATGTTGTACACTTAGTCAATAAAGAGGTACGTTACACTGAGAGGTTAAAATAAAATTGTTATAACGTTTTGGAAATAGAACTTTCTATAATCTACTCAAAGTGAAGAGGAGAAAGACCAATGCAATAGACTGTTTAAAAACGTACGTCTGATCCGTTATTGAAGAAACACAGTGACAATAATTGTTTACGACTGCCTAATTGTCACTGATTAATAAACCTACCGCTGAGTAATTTGATTATTAGAAACAATACATAAATCTAAAAACAAAAGGGTTTTGATGATTTTATTTCGATTATTTCTTTCAATAATTTATTTATAATAATTTCTTATAATAATTATTTCCATATAAAAACAAACATTTGTCAGCAATAAGTTGTAAATCATGCTGGTGAGACTTTTCAATAATTTAAATATAAATTGTATAAACATTGAGGGGAAATAATCCTATGACATTTTGACGCGAATTTCAAATTATTAAGCTGATAAATTTGGTTTTAATTTGTTTCACTATCGTCCACATTTTTTAAAAATCTGAAAAAATATATTTTGCACAATGTTGAGACACATTCTAGGAGAAAAATCTGAGACAGTACTCCAACGTTATCACGTCGAAAACCAGTTTCATTTTTTTTCTATTTGAAATGGGCGTCAAAATGGTTGACTAAATGACCGCTACATCCAACTATTTTCTCCCGTCTCTCCAACATTTTTTCTTTCAGATACATGCAATAGAAGTGAAGAAAAAATAAATTATGAAAAACATGTTTCTTGTATCTGTACAGACCGCTACGCACATTTTGGGATGTTTTGTGTCGACTGTGTCACTGTTTGGTTAGTGCATTACAGTCTATAGTCCATTGATGGCTCATGGATAGCGGGTTGTCAGAACTGTTTTTGATTTCAATCAGAAATAGATAAATCTCACAACAACACGCTTATCCTCTTTGACATATAATCACTAGCACAATACAGAAACACAGTTCAGATTCACTCCTATTTAAACTCTTCAATTAATACATGATACGCGTTACGGTATACACAGTTCAATTAGATTCCCGATTGACAAAAGCATATTTTAAGTCCGTGTAATTACGTTAATTCTCGCCGTGAGACATTAAATAAGGTTTGTAAAGCTGCATGTCTTACGCAAAAATTTTCCGTAGAACAACTGCCTGTCTTCTTCAGAAATCACACACGTGCGCATGCTGTCTCCTGTTGAACAGATTATTCAACGGCGGTCGCGCCGGAAGATTTTCTGCACATGAGGCGCGAGGAGGGGATTACGAATTAGCCTATCACGCACTAGAATTTGTATTGTTCTAGGTTTTGGAAGCTTTCTGGACAGTTAAGAAAAGGCTGAAACCGTTGCAAGCGTGGCTTGATCAGGCATGCACGATTTCTGAGTAGCCGTGACGTGGCGTTGCTCGGTGACGAGCGCACGTGGGCCGTCATCAAGATGGCGGAGCGAGTGCCCACCAGCAGATTCTGTCCTCGCGGAGCACACAATAAAATGCTGCATTATGCTTATACACTTTTCTGTTTTTCCTGCGAGTCCGAACACTATCTCTGTAACCGATTGCCCTAGGAGATTGATTTTGGGGGAATCCAAGCCCCTTTTATTATCTTTTATATCAGTATCACGATTAACGATTTGGTTTGGGGGCACTTTTCACCCCCTTATTCTGTTATACCCTTTGTGCCATGGTCTTTGAGATCAGAAATTTTAATTACCCTATCCACTAGATACACGTTTTTATGTAAAAGGATTTTGACCTGGTAAGAGCGATTCTTTTAATATTTATAAAATAATAAAGTGAGAGAACCACCGTTTGGTGTAACAGTTACCTTGTGATGAAATACTATATGTGAAAAAAATGCGGTTTACAATTAGTTTCATCTCGTGGAATATTGGTTGGTTGGTTGGTGTGATACCAGGCGCGTCAACTAATGAGGTCATTAGTCCCAATGCACGTTTGTATCCTTGGGAGGAGGCGGCGATCTTCCCCCTCTGGATGGCGAGACTGCGCCGACCTACCGTCGGCAAGCGAGGTTCCCTCAACCAGGTATCTTCCACCAGCGTGGCACCGCCCCGGCGGGGACAAGATGGAAGCTCCCAACAGGTCTCCCGGCATCAGTGGTAGTGGGGAGCGTCAAGGAAATTATATATTCTTGGGACATATGGTAAGGCAATAGTGTGATAGATTGACAGAAGTATTATAGCCGTGAGTAAAATATAACGATAGGACAAGGAAGAGGAAGGAGAGATCGCGCGCGGAAGATAAGAGGGCGTAGAAACAACAGGTCTCATACTGTAGCGGTACAGAATTATTAAGATAAATTAAATTGAGTAAAGTAGACCTAAGAAATTTTTTATTGAAGAAAAACATACGGCATCACACGCGCAGCCCCCCTTCTTGCAACAGCCACGATCCCCTAACCCATTTCGTATGTTTATGTCACCCCACCCAACGGGCGAAGAAAGGGTAACTTGTAAAGCGCCCAGCGTAGCCACATCTGGAATACTTCCGAAACGCCTGTCATCGTGATCGGGGAAACCCGAAGCAATAATTCAGTAGCCGGGAAGCCCCTTCAGAGACGTGGCCTACTTTCGAGACGACAGAGAAGGACACTATGTTCTGACGGAGACAGAAACATAATGGAATATTCCTATACTCCGCCGGAGCCTATTGGCCAAATTTAGTGTACAACGCCATCCCTTTAGCCAATAGCGACGCGATTGTTGTAGGGAGCAAGAACATAAGAGGAGAAAGGGTGGGGATAAAAGTTAACTTCGTGCATTTATGAGAAACAAAATTGAAGTTGGTACAGAGACTTCTCTGGGGTGGGAGTCGGTCGCGGGGAGAGGCGAGTGCGCCTCTGAAGGCACTTGGTTAAAATTACAGTTGGTAGAGAGACTTCTCTGGGGGTTGGGAGCCAAGCTCGGGGAGATGCGAGTACGCCTCTGAAGGCACTTTGTTAAAATTTCAGTTAGTTGAAAACACTGGGGTGATAGACCGGAATTCTCAGTGAGAATTTTAGAGGAAGTGCAAAAGCACTTCAAAAGTAAATTGGCGAATCCTTTGTAATTGCGTATTCGCTACAGGATTTCGCAACTTCTGAATTTGTATTTGAGAGGATTCGCATAGTTCAGAGGGAGATGTTGTGTGCTCCGCACCTGCGATCGGGGGCGATATACCCGGTTATCTACAAGTTCCGCCGAAGCAGCCTCCAGACGACCCATCTGCTGACGTCACGGACGGCCGCCAGACGCCACTGACCGCCGCAGCCGCCGTTGGTGAGGGCGTGTGCCCCGAACGAATTCCTGCGAAGGTCGCCTACCGCGCCCCCCAGGCCCCCTCGACAGCACATCTGCCAAGGAGGGTTTTCAGGCAATGTAACTGGGGGCAATAAACCTTTTGAAGTTTTGTCAAAGCGGTGCCGCGCCAAGGCACAAGAAAGGTCCTCAGGGACAACGCTGTAAATCCTAGCTATAAAATAATTTTGTACTCTTCTCTAGTTGAAAGCCTTCCTTTAATTTTAATCTGTTTCTTTTCTTTTTATTCAATCTTTCCTTTCTTTTATTTTATTAATGTAACTTCCCTGGTACAGTTTGTCCAGGAATAAACTTTGTCTTGTTACCAGTGATCAAATAGTTTATTTTGAATATCCATTAATTTCGTTAATAATTCCTTCCATCACCTAATTTTAAATAAGCAAAGGAAATTGTGACAACTGGCTAGTTTTTACACGAGTAAAGGGAATAGGACCGACTGAGCTATAACTGGGCCGCAAATCGCGCATTTCCCTTCGCCGGGAGATGAGTGGAGGTGTTACAATACGAAACTTTTTTTTGAGCTTTAAATAACCCATATGTCCTTGCTATTTTGCTACAGGTTACATAAATCTTGTAAAATAATCTGTCTGTATTTCTGACTTTTCCGCCTCTTTTTTATTGTGTTGCATAATGTTTTCATGGCTGAATAAACTTTCTTCTGAAACAATTTAATTTTTGATTGTCTCCTAATATAATTAAGGATACTTGTCTTTACTTTATTAAATTAAACAAACTCACTGGTAATGTTTACCATAAGACTGTTGGTCAAGAAGTTTAACATTATTTAGCATAGATGCTCATAATCTATACGTCCATACCAAGTTCATTTCTCAAAACAACTGAAAAAAATTCATTGGGCTGAAAATTATGATTATCGTTCCTTGTATTGAAACTGCAGGGATAGATATTAGGAAATTGGAAGAACTAGAAAATATAGGTAATCGGGAATAAACATACAAACTACAGGTTACTTCTGTTAACTTTTGTAACAAAAGATAGAAAAAAACAATTTATATGACCAAGAGGCAGTGGTGAGCATATGGAGATTTTTTAATTCAGATTATTCTCATGCAGATAAATAATACATATTTTCTGTGCATGCATACAATGAGACATTACCATCAAAACAAATTATGTAACAACATTGTATTTTTGTTTGGACTTTTTAACACACTTTTTTCATAAAATAATTATGAATTTATAAGGAAATATGAATGAACATTGACCATTCATGTAACAATGTTTATCTACACGACAATAAATAAATAAATATATAAATAATAAACGAGCAGAAAACTGCTCTTTATACACTCACACAATTCAAAGTACAGAGATTTCTCTTGTATTGTTGGGTACTTTTTCGAATATTTTATATCCATATTGTAACAAATAGAGACAATTATAATTACTAAATACATCAAAGTCATAGAATGTCATATATTACTTTCAAATAGTTTTAATTTACTAGCTGTAATATAGTCATAACTGAAAGGAATCACAACCATTCACAGTTAAGTCGAAGTGCGCGATAATAAATTACAGACCTGGTAATGATAGGAAGGCATATTATTCCGTAGTCTTAAAAAAGCAGATGATTATTTGAAATTAACTCAATCTTTTCCTAATCAACATAAGCATCATGTCATATTAACACCCAAGGATTGTCGTGAACGTTCATAAACAACATAACTTATACTAACTGCAGGCGCAACCTTCAAAAAGTTGGGAGTAATGCCTCGATATAGACCCAAAAATCCTTCTTCTTGGATAATATTCTTTATAATTCCAGTCATTGTGCAGGTATGTGGAACTCTATGACCAGCCGTTAGTACTGAAAAGCAATACAGAAATATATTAGTAATCTAGTAAGTGTGTTGTAAAAAAAGGCAATCATTGACAATAATGTACCATAACCAGTGCCGGCGCTATGCATGGGCAGTCTGGGCGATCGCGCCGGACCCGGGTAAAGTAGTTTGATAATTCATAAAAATTGACATTGATGTTTCACCTTAAATAGTTATAGTCATTACTTATCGGGAAGGACTCTACGAAATGAATCAAATAATTCTAAAATTAAAATAGTTTCTACAGGAACTCATATTTATTTTTTCTGATTTAATAAGTGATTTTATTAAACAAATCAATTTTTTTAGCGTTTTAAGCTCACTGTAGAAATTTTATTATCTATTCACTAAATACTTTTACTTAAAACTATAATTTAAAATATATTTCCAAAAACTTTTCGGCCTTAATGTTGTAATTTTTGTTATTTGTTGAAATAAATAACGGATATAGTTTCTCGATATAACTTTCACACATTTAAATTTTTACGGGGGAGGGGCTACGGTTTTCAGTATTGCCCTAGGGCTCAAACTTTTCTAGCTCCGGCACTGAATATAACTATAGTTAAGAGAAAGTAAAATACGTGGCACAACACTTAAGAAATATGAAGCTCAAAAGTTTTTGTAAAAGCTGTGGCATTATTCGGAAAGGGGTATTTGATAGCTGTAATACCTTTATTTTGTGTTGCCGGGGCAAGAACTGCTAGGATCATTAGTCTCATGTGTACATAATAAATCGCGGGAGGTGGCGGTGTTCCTCCCCGGTAAAACGTGAGGCCCGGCGCCGACATAAGTCGTCCCGGAGCATTACATGTTTTCTTTACTACGTAAGCAGTAGCGAGAAAGTAAAGATGTTCATGGCTACATTTTCATATTTTTTAGTTCATAAATGCTTGAACATTTCTAAAATTGTTGTCATAAACATTCGGGCCCTATTTATGAGCAATGTATATAACACGAGGGACTAGAACGTAAAATAAACACATTCTAAGAATCATAACTAGAGATCGAATTTTTATGGAGTATAAAATGTCAAAAAATACAGTAAAAAATTAATAAGTAAATAAAAGTATACTTAAAAGTGTGAAATTACGTAAAAATTACCTATCGAATCGAAATACTTTCTAAAATAAATAGAAACTAAATAGAAATTCGTTTTATGTAGGCGAACAATCCGATTGCAATGTTTCGCAAGCACCATGAAAAATGAAAAAGAGAAGTGAGAAAGAATTGTAGAAAAGTAGCGACTGATTTCACAAAATCCATGTTCGAACAATATGATTTGAGCGGGCTCCCCTTTCACTTAAGCAGAAAGCATGGCTGTGATTACAGGTGTCGTTCGTTTATATTGTTTCTCAATTCTGCGAATCTTTCCTTTGAAACAGTGATTGTGTTATTTAAGGGAAAAAAGAAAAAAATAATTCAGGATAAGTCACAATCTGAATAACTTAATATTCACTATTAACAGATTTTCAACCTCGACATTCAAGCGTGGGAAAAAATAAATCCTTAAAATTTTGCAAGAGAATTACTAAATTTTTGGCTGTATTTTGGATGCGTGTGTCTGATCACATTTGTTATTTACAATTATATTTGCTTTTTTTATTTATTTAGATTATGGCTGCGAATTTCGCCGACAAATTGGATTTAAAAAATCACTGTTATCAACACTCGTCAAGTCGCTACCTTTTCTTTTCGAAAACGGAAGTAAATATTATTATGAGCTTAGCTAAAATGCTCAGGTGCTGCTTTATAAGAAAATTGAATGTATAAACGATTTGGTTCCACGTGCCCTTTCATCGGTAATGGAAAGTGCCAACGAATTTCGAGCCCCTGCGCTCTTAACGTAGAATGACTCATTTTGTTTATTTTTTATACACTGTCCACTTTTTAAATATTTATTTTAAAAATTTGTATTAATATTATCATCGAGAGAATTATTACCAACATTAAACTTTAATAATGTTTGGAAAAAATCTAAACTCTTCCTAAACACGGTCTCCAAAATGTTCGTAATTTTTCACGGAATGGAGAAACATTCAACACTACGTTAACCAGAATTTAATATAATTTAACTATTAATTTTCATATGTATTAATTGTAATAAACATGTGGTTATTTAAAAATATAAATAAATATAGCTATTTTTATATTTTTAAAAATATGCTTGCAGTTAAATAAAGTAAATAAGCGGAGGGCCCCTTCAGTTGCCCGGAACAGACGGCCGTGGGTGCACGTCTCCGAAAAGAGCATAACATACTTTTTATATGAGAAATCAGGTTAAGCCAGGTGTCCCGGAGGTGCAACAGATAAATGCATGTTTGGCAACAACGTCGTGTGTTTTTCAAATTGATTTTAAATATATTACGACAAATTAAAAGAAAAATATTTTGAAATAACTATTGACAAAGTCAATTTTATGAAACAATTACATTACCTACGTTCAGGAAAGCCAATGATAGAAATGCCATGGGGGCCTCAATACCTAGATACACCTCTGGTTACAATGTTACTAACTCATTGTAACTCCAAATCAGCTTGGCTAAAACATGAACTTTTACCCTGCGACAACAAATTTAAAGATCTAATAATGGGGAACAAATTGCAACATGAGAAAAGCCTCATCTTCAATTTGTAGTTTTCGGAAGGTATCCAAAGAATATTTAACTTTTGATATTTTCGTAATTTCTGAGAATTTAACGAAAATAGGTCATGCGTAATTTTTACAAGGGCACCTTTTCCTCTATTCGGAGAGGGTGGGGGGGGCTATCGAAAGAAAAAATGTGGCACAAATTTTGAGAAAATATTCAAAATTTCCCAAATGAAGTACCCCCCGAATCAGTTGCAATTCGCAGAGCCCGAAGTCGCAGAAAATATATTTGGCAAAAAGTCCGTAAGTCCGTATACGGTTTAGGAGCTAGTGTTGTTTACATACAATCATGCAGACGGACGTTTTGAGAAAAAAACAAAAACAACTACGTATTTATGGTATCAAGGACCCGCGAAACGCGCATTCTTGACTGAACTACGTATATGAGAAAGAAATTAACTACGTATAGGGCAGGCGCGGCTCGTCATTAAAGACTGTAAGGAGAAGCCTCTCCAATAGAAATCGCCACCCCCACCCCCAAATTAAAAATATATTTATAAATGTATTTATTTATTAATAATGGATTTCCGAGTTACGTTATATAACAATCACAACAAAATTTTTCTCCGTCAGTTCGTTACCGGCCGTCCGAAACGCATGTGAAGGGAATAGAACATCGTCAGGCTCCCACTTTATTTCGTCATAAGACCTGTGTAAAACGAGGAGACGTGACGTCATGCATTCACTGTACAATCTTACCGGCGGACGAAGGCTGCCTTCTGGTAGCCTTCAAGGGTGAGCTCACCAATTAGCATTACTATGCAGCTCAGCGAGTGACATTGTTCATCAACTAGTTTCCCCAATATGCGGTAGGAGCGCTACCCCCTTAAGCCTGTATCGGAAGCACGAAGTCTTTATCCCCCTTAAGACTGTTTCGGAAGACATTATATATAGAAATACAATGCGCGCAATGCAGTGGAATGCAATGGAATGCATTTGCAGCCTTTCCCATTTAGAAAACGAGCCGCGCCTGGTATAGTGGCAATGAAAATTAACTTCCTTGGTATGAAAGGGCCCACAAAACGTGTCTGTGGAAAAACGGCACTATTTCCACTGTATGTACCTGTACACAACTTTCTCGAACTATGTAGTAGATATTAGGAAGTAAAAATCAGGGACTGAATTTTCTTATCAGTTGTGCTCGTGCATGTAACACCTATTAGAGTGTTAGGGTAAGGGGTATTTCCTGTTATTTATCGTCATTAAGTATTCGGATACAGATGGACATTCACTTTCAAGTCTAATTGGAAACACGAAATGAGATGCCACTTCGAAGATGTCAAAACGTATTCCTTTGATAGAAAACTGTCCCTAATATTTACCGATTACCTATTTTTGTTAATCATGGACTCCACTTGAAGAAAAGATCGTTCAAAATATGTGAGCTTGATATCTGAAACTTGACATAATTTAAAACATCTTATATTATCTGTACGGAGTGTATTTTTGTACCTTGGGCTTGCAAACGAGTTCTCACCAAAGCTAATGGGTAACTGCATACTTGGCCGCAAGTACTAGAGATAGTTCCACAGGTCAGCAACAGAAAAACACTTGGAGTATCGCCATCATTGTGGCGACGAAGATAAGAATTTTTTAGTGTCTGAAAAATAAACATAACATTTAATTTACCTTCTATTTTCATGATTGAGAAAAAGTACACCATAAAATTAGAAAAAATGTATTATTCAATTTCATTTACGTACGACTAACAGCCATACTGCCAAAATTCACTAACGAGTTTTTGATGGAAATACAGCTTGAATACTTTTATAGTTCATGTCACTAGTAAGTATAAGAAATATGTATTAGTTTTAAACTACAAAGACAAATATACAATACTATATTACTTTTAATATTATACAGCTGAACCACAGCATTTACTGCACAGAATATTTCTTATATTATTACGTAACACTGTCTTTAATAGCAGCCGCAAGGCTATGATCATAGGTTGTGGTGACAGTCATGGGACACCTAATATCGTATCGGACCTCCTTTCGCCCGGCGAAGTGCAGCAATTCGACATGGGCTCAACAAGTCGTAGGTCATTCCCATGGTAACCAATTTCATCACAATCCACCAAAAAAAATTATTTAACATTTACAAATAAAATATTAATATAATATATCAACTAATGTGATTTACTTTTCGTTTTTGAACAATATTTTTATACTGATTAAAAACAAAATTTTTTTAGTATTCTTTGATTTTTCAGGCCCTAAATGTCTTGGTCGAAAACAAAATTTCAGTATATAATAGAGGTTTGATTTATTTTCCAATACTGACTATTCCAGGGAGTAGTTTGTAAATAAAATTGAATTAAACGTTTTCGAAAATTCGCTATTTTTAGTTCCCATGTTCTTATGGATTTATACAAAAAAACACTATGTGATATTTCGAACTCATGTGTATTGAACAATTAAACAATGAATCCATCTATAATGTAAATTTTAACGCCATAAGAGGTATATTAAAAATGTGTAATTTTATATGCGTAATTTTTGAACAATACACAGAATTCATCAAAAGGACGCTTCTCATGATATTCAGTACATTGAGTACTATCAGTAAAACGTTTAGAGAAAAAAATTGACCCAGTTTGGAGAAAATAAATAAAATTTAATTTTTAATACTGCCCATATTTCACTCAAAATTGCTCACAAACTACTGATATAATAAAAAAAATGTACATAAGGTCATTGAAAAACGAATGGAGGAAACCAAATTTTATTTCAAGAAAAAATCTATCTTCAATAATGTAGATGTAAGAAGAGGTTTAAAAAATTTCAAATTTTTGAACTATTCGAACATTTACGGAGAACTGTGGTAATCGGATCAATGCCATTTTTATAAGCGTATTATAAATACATTTATTATAAACGAAAATAATTAATAATATTGAGAAACTGCTCTTTTTTGAGAGATTCGCTCAGAAAATAAATGTTGAAATTTCAACATGTAACAATGGATTCAGGAAAGTTATTACTTTTACCACAGTTGATCTTTAGGTTTTCTAACAATGAACTAATCTGTATCTTATTTTCTGTAGATCCGTATAAGACAAGTAAGATAATTTAAAAAGAAAAGTAAGATGTGCGGATGTTATTGGAAAAACATTTTCAACTGAATGTACGCAGATTAAATTATGATTAGAAGGTATAATGAATATCATTCCTAATATATAAGTGCACATCTCCATTTGCAAGACCCTTGTTTAATTACCACTCCTGCAAGGTAAGGAATTTGGCGTGCATTTAGTTCATTTTGAAGTACCGAATGTTTTGTAAAGCAAAACTCTATTCGGCTTACACTGTAAAGCTACTTCGATTCATTCAATGTTATTTCAGACTGAACCTTATGAAGCATTGTGTGAATCTTTAAAACGTAACAGGTGGAGAGGAATGAGTAATGGGAGAGGTAGTGCTAGGGTTCAGAGGAACAGGCAAGTGGGACTGAAGGAGTTTCGGGGAACGGAAGACAACTAGGAGGTGTGGGAGGGGATGTCTTGGTTACAACACTAATGAGGACGTGAAGGGATGTAATATGTGAGCTGTCTGCCGAGTGCATGTTTCCCTGCAAGTTCACTTGAACCTTGACCACGCGAAACGTTTTTCTGAAATAACGTGTAGCTCAAATAGTTTGCGTTTGTCTTTCAGGTGTGTGTATCAGTTGTGTTCAGGTAGTGTCAATTAGTCGTTTGCATGTATAATTTCTTTGTACAGTGTTGGTTTGTTATAGCACAAGGGCAGAGCCGAGACGGTGATGTTCGTATTTTGAGCAGGACGTTGTATTTTGTCAACATGTTGGTTGTGTTCGATGTCACCGCCCGAATTAATGTCATTCTGTCCTCCTAAGATGGCGACTGTGTCCTATTTAGTAAGAGTTGTTCCATGGGTGGCCAACTCACTTGCAGTTTGCAAATCTCCAGTTAGGTTTTAGCACAGCTGAGTTAAATAGGTTAGCGAGCTGACGAAGTTGATCGGCGTATTTGGCTGACTACCTCTCCGGTTTGTTTCTACAAAGTGAAATGACTTGTGGTTAATTGTTCAAATAAAACACACGATATTACGTTTAATTTAGACGAGATATTTACTGCGACAGGGTGCGATACAAATATTTGCGTCAGTGACTCCGCCCTAAAACATTCCACTCCTTGCAACGAAAGAGAATCCCCGAGGGCGCACGTGCCCCACATCCCACATCCCTAGGAGGAGCCGCCGCTGTTTCATCAGCCCAAATGCCTTTCAATAAAACACATCTAGGATTAAAATCCCGGGGATTCACAGAGCGCAGGTGGCCGGCAGCGAAACTGGGGATTTCCCGATGCAGGGAGTGGGGAGTCAAAATTAAGAGACTCACCGACCATGTGACGGCGGAGACGGACCAATTACGTGTAGTATGACGCAACATGACTGACTCAGAAGACAGCGGACAGAGAGACTAGGGCAAGACAGACGAGAGTGAGACGTAGAGGAGGGTCGCAGGACGGACAGACGAGGATGAGATTCGACGGTTCGGAGAAGTGACGTGCGAGTTTCTCGCAGCTATAAAATCAACGGCAACGCGACTTTGTCGATACCTCGAAAATCCACCGGAGACCTGCTCGGGCGCTGAGATGCTGCTGCCAGGAGCAGGGCATTCACCGCCCACCCCTTTCTTTTTCGCGCCAGCTACCATTGGGGACTGTTTCGAGGAAATATCTTTCCTAAGTTCATGGTAAATGAACTCCATTATTGACCGATGTTTGAGATATCAGACACTAATAAATAGTGACTACAGTACGAACTACAGAATAGTATTTCTGTCTTTGGACCCACGTCACCAACACCATCAGGTGAAACGAGTAACCCGAGTGTAATTATAGACTACGAGTTGCTAGCAGAAGATTTTTATACATATTGATGACATTCACAAAGGAAAAAAACAACAGTTTCTTGACCTGATTAAAAAGCTTCATTGCAACCACTACTCGGAGAGAAGAGAAAATACTCAAACTACAAATTAGGTCCACTCCACCCCTACTTCCCAAGGTCATCATCTAATATAGACATTAACCAATTCTATCTCTGCACGCAACAAGAGACTCGAACACATCACCGCGACTAACGAAACAATGACTTATTGGAGCATTACACATCGATAATAAAGAACTACAAGACCCTTAAATACTATTGATGATCATCAGACTATTTCACCAGACTTTTTTGCGAAAAATAGAAAAGAGCGAATTATACACACTGCGACACAAGGTGACTACCAAAATCAGTTTAAAATTGAAAAATTAATCCTTGAAACTTCTCCCCAACAAATTCGTGATACATTATCAACATCATAAAACCACGACGAAACTACCGAGTAATCTGATCTAACACATCAACTCCTGAAAACATGAACGAAATCACTAAACAAACAACTACTAGGCATGAGAGATAAGAACTGATGACACTACTTTACGACATGGACTGTACACCATATAAGTTAACACATAGCGTAGTCGATATTTCACACTCACCAGATAAATGTGACATGCCATTAAATTGAAGATTACATCCCCTCCGCCCGAGTCTCTCTCCACAAATTGTCAGCAACCTCACCACATCCAGTCTTATTGCCAACGACCTTCTGTCTGCGCCAAATGCTTCCTCCACCACCCCAACACCTGCAATAATAATACCATCAAATGTGCAAACTGCTTTCAAGAACACCCCTCATATTGGCCCACTTGTCCCATCATTGTCAAAGCACAAGAAGACAGTAGACAACTGACTAGGACGCAAAAACGAACACAGCACTTGACACACACTTCACCACATAATTCTCCTGAACCAACCAAAAAGCCATCTCTATCGAACCCATCGTTGTCATACACCAAATTTGTATTACCATCAACAATGAAGAGAAACCGAGTTGAAATGCCTCATCAATTTCCTCAAGACTTTCGCAACCCCAAAAATCACATCGATTAACGATGTAATCAATACCATTAAAGGCCCTGATGACACCGCAACAAAAATAATTTCCATTTAGACAAAAGTTTGTAATATGTCTTAGACACTATGGTGTCTAAACGGAGATTTACATCACGACATGGAACTGCAAGGGAGGACTATTTTGGGAGTAAACGGCCATCAAAAATTCATTAAAGAATACTCCATCGGAATATTACTTATACAAGAGTGCTCGGTGTGCTTAAGTTTTCGTCGCAGCCGTTGAAGTGCGAGTCTGCCAGAGGCTGGTAGTGGTTCGTAACTGACGGCACGAATATGTCCGAAATGGCCACCAATGTAAGATTTTAGATCTGCTGACGATGCTAACGTTGCACAATTCGTAGCAATATTACTCACTCGAAAGAAACCTCCGTCCATTCGCAACACAGTTCTGTACTAGTCGGCTACAAAAAGCAGCAAAGTTTATGAACGTATTCGGTTCATAAAACGATGGCTTCTGTCCACCACGTCCAAACACAAGGATTTGAGCAAGGATTATTTCCTTTAACTAAACGGCGTAAAGGCCGAAGAGAACAGTTTGAAATATGGCGGATTGCTCACAATAAAACACTTCGAACTGCATTACTAATCTCAAGGATTTGAACAGACTGCATTTCCGACTATTATCTTGAACAATTTTCAGAATACTGCTCGTTTTCTTAATGTAAACGATATTTCGCCCGTTGGTTCCCTCGCTTTTGATGCGATGGGCAATGGCGATTTCCAGTTTCTTTTCCCTCTAATTTTGGCATCGATCAGTGTACTTTCCTTGTACTTGGCAGGCTCAGGAAATGACGTCCCACATTTACTTTCGCGCGAGCGCGCGGATCAACATTGCCAGTTAAAAATGCTATATCCCATGGCTTGAGTTGTTTATTACTTACAAGAAATATATATTTTCACACAGAAAAATTAATATAAATAAAAAGCAATTCTATTGTGTCAATTGGTCACCTCCTATGTTCGCCGTAAACGTGCAATAATAATGCCTCAGACGGCAAATGGCCACACTAACAGTCGATGGTATCTGCCGCTGCCGCATCTGCACGGTAGAGGACCATCCAGTAGGGGCAGACAAACGCGGAACGGTGCATTGCACATAGCGAGGGAACTTTAGCTTAAAGCCAGTCTGTTGCAACTGCAACCGAAGTCACGCTGCATCCTTCATAGGATGCAGCCATTGCACGCTGCCCATGCGTTCTTCAGACGCGCGTGCAGAGGAGACCGAGAGGTCCTCACGTCAAGATGTTTCTGATAGAAAGTCGGCGCCTCGGTCGGCAGCTAACGGCGGACCCGCGTGGAAGGATGTTACGCAATGCCTCGGCACCACACGCTCCGCAGGAGCCAACGCACCGCTTTCCGGGACCCACTGCACCCACAACTGCCTCGCAAACACTCACTAGGATTCTGTTCCCAAGTACCCCAAGTATGCTACCCGACAATGCCTAGACAAAATCTTAACATGCGGACAGCACGTTCCGCATGCGCACTTGAAACGCGCGAAGTGCAATCTTCAAAACACAGTATATTGAACATTTCGCAGTTGACCTTCAACCTGATATCTTTGCCATACAAGGAACGTGGCTTAGTGAAGAATGCGAATCCAAACTCCGGGAATTCATTGATTTTCACAGAGACCGCGCAGTTCGAACCCGAAATCTCTATTGCTCTGGCGTCTTTACAGTCAGTCGGGGCGTAGGTTTTGGTGGGAAATGCCTGACGTTTTGTTGTATTCGTATACTATCCTGGCCAAACCTTAGATCAGGCTAGAATTGATGCCCTCCTCGCATTAAATTCTAAAGTTATCCTTCTGGGTGACTTTAACGACAGACATACGAATTGGGGCGGTCTCAGAACTAACAGAAACGGCAAAAAATGCCAATCGTGTACCAACAAAGCGGGGTGTAGAGATCTGCGCACCGAATAGCTCTACGCACTTCTCAAAGTACGTAACAGGAGTGTGTGGTTCCCCGCTCAATGGCCACACTGGATTCCAATCATAATCCAGTAACATGCATTGTAGCGTCTCTTGTAGCGAAACGCCAAGATAGCTTTCGAACCTCGAGTGACACGAACTGGGCAAGTTCGCAACACAGCTGAATTCTCGTCTTGAGCAGATACCAGTAAATACGGAAGCTGAGATAGACGAAGCAGTGAATCACTTCACTGTAACATTGAAATCAGAATAAGTTTTTACAAACAATACAACTGTCACGCTAGTAAGGAATGCTCGTCCTGAGCTTACAGATGACCAAAGAAACTTAAGATCTGCGCAGAATTGTTAAAGTTCATCGCTCCTACGGCGACCCCGTTGACGGAGAGCGGGCGCGCAGATAAAGCAGAGAATTCAGTTCATCTCTACGGGATGAGAGAGCTGCTCCATGGTCTGATCCAATTTCAAAACGCAACATACTCGAGAGGCAAATTTGGGATCTTGCTCGTGCGTTAACAAACCTGCGCCGAGGCAACTGTTGCGCACCACCACCCACACATGACAGGGGAGAATGAGGCCTACGATGACGGAAGGTTAGGCATCCTCATCCAGTTTCCTCAACAACCGTTCAGCGTTGCTGAGTATTGGCCTTCGCAGTAGGCGTCTGGTTAATGCACCCATGCTGACTACTGTTCATCGGCGACGAAGGCTGGAATTTGCACCCCAATACTGCAACTGGACGTCTACTGAGTGGCGACAGGTGGCCTCTTCAGATGAGTCACGTTTGCTGTTGGATCAGACAGATGGTCGTTGACGTATACGGCCTGGAACGTCTGAACGCAAAGACCCTGCAACAATCGCCGGACGAGTCCAGGCCGGAGGGAGCGCGATGGTGTGAGGGATGATTCGTGGAATTCCCTAGGTCATAACGTCGTTCTGGAAGGGACAACTGATAAACACAAGTATGCAGCCATCCTTGGGGACCAACCATGTCCACCCCTATATGCAGATAGTTTTTCCACGCAGACGCGGCATCTACAATCAGTACGTGTCACACAGCTCGCAGTGTACGAGCGTGGTTCCAAGAGTACGAGGATCAGTTAATAATACCCCTTGGCCAACGAACTCCTCCGATTTAAATTGAGAATCTGTTGGACCATCTCGATTGGGCTGTTCACGGCATGGCTCCGCATCCCTGTCGGTACAATCCCGAACCTGGCCGACTCTTCCTGCACGTCTTGCAGCAGTCAGCATCGCAAGAAGGGGGTTATTCAGGATTTTGATGGGTGGTCGCAGTAATGTGACTGCTCTGTGAATAATTAATATCTACATATTAATTATGCTTACATCTACCAACATGTAAATATGTGTATATATATGTAAATAATATATTAATATATTAATTATATCATTAATAATTTTATTAATATTCGAGTTACAACTAGTAGCTAAATATTAAATTGGTTTTACATTCCTATATAAAGTGAACTATATATAGCAGCCATAATTAGGGACCGGATTAATATATACTACTAATCTATAAAATAGGTGTATATATATTGCGCGCAAATATGCTCTAAAAGTATTTTAACTAATTATAACAATGTTTCTTACAATATTTCACGGATTAACGTACATTAAACGAAAGTTTACTCACAGTTTACCGCTCCATCCATGAAATTCCTCAGAGTAATATTAGTAGCTTTAATTTTCACAATAGAATACCTAATTAAAATACTCTCGTCAGGCTGCCTGACAAAAAACGCGATGCACCCAGGAGTGGTCCAATATTATCCTACTTCGGTGTATATGCATACAAATTGATGTTAGGGCAAATGATTGATTCACGGGTATTTGAAATGTCTAGAACGCGCACCAGGGTGCAATCATGATGTCACAGCCCAATTGTTTCGCGGACGTTATCAGTCAACTACTTTGTGTCAGTGCAGAACGACGTTTATCCACTGTAACAAGCACCCACAGACACCCAAGCAGACGCGTTCGACAGCCTATTCACCAACTGCATTTGACAGAGGTCGCATTGTGGGACTTCATGAGGCTGGTTGGCCTTGCTGGATAGTCGTGCAATTACCAGGCGTATGGTCCATTCAGATGTCACAGTGGGCGATGTTGGAATCAATGGGAACATGAGGGCAGCAATGCACGTCGTGCAAGCTCCAGTTGACCAAGAAACAACCCCCAGGGAAGACCGTCGTATGGTGCGCCAGCAGGAATCCCAGGCAGCTGCCATCCACGAACATGTACCGGTGACTCGCCAACAGCCTGTGACATCTCGCACAGGGGCTCGACCACTAGCATTCGCGAGCTTGCACCGTCCCTTGTCGGTTGCCATTGACACCAGAACACTGACATCGGAGTTCGTATTGATGCCGGGCCCGGGAGGCATGGGCAGCAAACGAATGATATCGCATAATTTTCAGTGATTAGTCCCACTTCGTCATAACCTCCGATGACCTTCGTGTTAGAGTGGCGGCGTGAGTTGCAGAGGGCACTTCCTGCCTAAAATGTGGGGAGACACAAAGGCGTAACCCCGGGCATCATGGTGTGGGGCGCCATGAGGTATGCGTACAAATCACCTCCAATAGTGCTTCGGCAGAATTTGACGGCACAGCAGCATGAGAGACATTCTGCGTCTGAATCTGCAACACCTTACGGCAAAGCACCCTGAGACAGCATTCCAAATATTATGCACGTCCACATGCAGCACGTGTGTCTATGGACTGCATAGCTCAAGTTGAGGTCCTCCCGTCGCCAGTAAGATTTCCGGATTTCACCATCATAGAACATGTGTGGGATGATATTGGAAGGGGAATCCCTCGCAGTATCAACCTGCAGGATCTGGACGAACAGCCGAAACTGTGGACGAACGTGCCTCAAGAGATGATCCAAAAACAGTTTGACATCATCCGAACCCCATAAGGGCATGCATTGCAACCAGATGAGCGACACCTTACAGACCTGGGGTATACTTTCTAATTTGTAACTGCCATCGGCTATCTATCGTCATCCCATATTGTAATCAGTTCGATAAAATCCCATAGTCATGCCGTATGTGTAGACTCAATCACTTCCCACAACTCATGTGTGTAACACTTTTTTGTCAGGCAGTGTACTTTTAGCAACTAGGCTTAGAATCCCAGTTGAACACAATTCCAAGTATCCCTTTGCAGTCACCTTCATGCCATGTAAAGCAAACCTTTTCCTATTTTCTCGCGTCCTATTTCGCTCACATTTATATAGGACCTCCTCTGTGGCTTCTGGGAGCTCAAATAATGTGTTAATTCAGCAGCATTTCCGATTTTTATCATGTACTAGACGCTACACAAAGCTTGAAACGATGGTAATTTTCCATAAAATGTCATGCAAAATTCAAATACAGGAAAGCGATATTGACTGTAATGAATCCACGTGCAGAAAATATAAGAACTTAATTAATTGAAATATAGTAAATAAATATTTGTAACTATTATTTCCATGCCAAATACACAAAATAATTAGCAATTTGCAGAAATATGATTACTGAGAAAATATACAAGATATGCATTATAAAATCATGGTTTTAATAACTGGAAATTAGGAGTTTCATACACATTGCATGTGAACATATTTCTGGCTACAGGGAGAAATACGTATTTGCATGGAAATCCGGTTCCTAGATATAATTTCTTAAATTGTTACACGGCGTTCTACGAACTCTGGTGAATCCTACCTCATACACTGCAAGGTCTATTCCAGCGTAAGGAATAATGCCCAACAAATTAGGCACATAACCTCTGTAGAAACTGCGATAACCTTCATTCCTATAAATTTTTGTGGCGGCATCCAGTATTCCCTTATACTGCCCCGTCTTCCTCAAGGCTAAACGCGTTTTCATAACCTGAAATATTAATTTGTTTCAGACAGACGAAACTGATTTGAAACATTTATACATAATCGGATATGTTACAGCATAAATTGGCAATTATATGAACTAACTCACCTCCAGTGGATATATTGCTGTTTGACTAACACCACCAGCCAATGAACCAGCTACGAATCGTTCGTAAATGGACAATTCTCTAGTGCTGTTCCCACGAATAATCCGCTTTGCTTGCTCGTACGCCATGAATTTAATTGCTGATTCTGGAGCAATTTTTACAACGTTTATTCCGTTCCCTCTCCAGAAACTCCGTACACCACCCTCTTTTAACAAGTGACTGAGGCAGGTTTTTATGCCTGTCTGCTTGGTACCATGCACCTGCAATTCAAACAAAATATACTGTCAATTGTGCAGACAAATTATTACCTAACCGTACGACTAAGTCTGTGGATGATGGATACGTTACTTCAATGTCCTAAAACAAATTACACTGGTAGGCTCTTTCCTTCAACAAAACAAGTTACAAATCCAAACTTTTTATAGTATCGTTCTCACCGGTCTCTCTGCCACCCCAATGACCATCTCTCACTCTAAAACGTATCCACTTCAAATACAACTACCACAGAAAGACGAAGAGTTCACTCCACAGGACGTGTACCCACTTCTAAAGACAAAGACGTAAGATCAACAAAGAAAAAATTCCATTCTAAAACAGTCCATTCAGATGAAGAGGACGAAACAGACCTTCCGCTCTTCTGTTTGTATTATTTACTTCCCGTATTTACACTATTTATATATTTCATAAGTTTATTCATATATATATATATATATATTGCACATTGTATATTATAAATGTATGCAATATGTATATACACATTGTACAATACAAATGTACGCAAATCGAATGTTTCTTAGACAATTCGAAACACACTTGAATAACATACTGAAATAACTGAAAATACATACATGGAATTAGAAATGCATATACAAGAGTACATCAGACAATCTAGTGGTGTTAGACCGAGACCCGCGCCAATCTTTTAAGCATTCCATGTTGTATCCCTAAAAAATGGGGCTGCTTTTAAGAAAAACATTTAAAAAAATCAAATGCCTTGATCTTGCGCCAAGTTACACGAAAATTATTCATATTTTCAAAAAATTGAATATCAACTTTACCTCTACTTCCTCCAAAAACCACCCAGAAACTGAATGAAAAAACATCCTCTAGAAATCCTTCTGCTTACCCCTCCACCTACCTACGCCAACGAACAATCAGAAAAACATTGTTGTAGAAAATTAGCTATTTAAATAAATAAATAAATAATAAATAAAATAGTGTTGTTACAGAATGGAACATATTCTCGTTCTAGTTTTCTAATCTCTACACTCTTGACTAGCTTTTGCGACGAGCCTCATTCTCTTCACGGCTTTCATTTAGTGACCCGAAAGACATTTTGTACACATTTTCTCAATTACTCGGCTCCGTAATGCTAGAACAGAAACCACTATACACTTATTACTATTATAGAAGTATTCATCTCATGTCCTCACGGGATGGCCGAATGGCGTACTCTTCGGGAAGAAGGCTACCTGGTTCAAGTCTTGATCGGAAATTACTATTTGTGACAATTCTGTTGCCGCAGGAAATAATTCAGGATTCCAGAAACTTCATTGAAAACCGTATGAAGCAATTCTAATAGCAAATACTATTAATCAAGATAATTAAACGATGTGTGTGTACGTGATTTTCGAATTTTCAACTTTTAAACAATTTTTAACATCTCTTATTGGATTAGAAAAATGTATGTCTCGTCAATCAATTGTTGTTTTTCGGAGCTTATGAATATTATATAAAGTGCGAATTCGCTGTATTATCCGGGTGGCCGAAGTGTTTAAATGTGGATTTCGGTTTGAGCGTTTCATTGAGAAAGGCCGCTGTTTCGAGGCTCATTCAGAAATAATTATTTTTCACAATTGTCTGTTGCTTTTAACAAGCAAAAATGATTTACCGCGTCGAGATAAACCTTCTGGGCTGGAATCTTTTTCTGCCCAAACGACATTCATTTTGTTAATTTTTTCTATGACTAATACTACACTGATGCACGAAGCTATGACTAATATGGAGTGCATATCCCGTATATGACTCCGGTGGCCGAGGTCGGTTAAGTGATGTGTATTGACCCTGGGCTTCGGAGGCAAGGACGGCTTGTTCCAGTCTTTCATATGGATAATTATTTATCACGATTCTGTGTTGCCGAACAAAACTATTGGAAATTGCAGAAAATTTATTGAAAATCATTTGAAGCACTTCTACTAACAAATACAATCAATTAAGATAAATAAATTTTAAGTTCGTATGTAATTTTTAATTTGCAACTTTTAAGTTCTATGTTTTTACACATAGTTTCATTTTCTCAGCGCAGTAGTGCAAGAACTGATACAGTAGTGTCTCGAGTAATATGGAAGTGTAGAGATCCTGTCCTCCTGGATAGCCAAGGTTGTTAAGTGATATGTTCGGGTTCCTCACTTGAAACTAGAAGGTCGACGATTCGAGTTCCACACGAGGAATTTAATTGGATGAATTTGTTGTAAAAAACTATTAGGGATTCGATCATTACATACCGGACGTGTCTGTACTGGCTTTTGCAATTTGTAAATTTTAAACATTTTTTTAAACTTTCTTTTGTGCTTTGTAAAATATATGTCACGTCAAATCTATTGAGTTTCTGTGCAGCTGTATGAACCGATTTTAGTAAACTAATAAATCTATCGACATGAAATTTAAATACATTAACACTAGCCACGTGACGAACTTAGATAACCCTAAAGATTAAGGAATTATTATTACTTTCTCGCCTTACGAATTCTTCGTAAGAAGAGGCTGTTATGTAAGGTTGCGCCAGAAAACACCAAAATTTCCCCAGAATAAACCTTATTGCCGGGCTCTAGTAATGAAAACGTGGATAGATCCTGTTGCTAAATTTAGGGGAAAAAACCTTCTAACTCGTGTTGTAGCCAGAATCCATGTTTTGTTGCTTCTTCATATCGGAAAATCAATTGACGGTAAAACGTCCGTGTGTTCGTTTGTCTGTCCGCGCCTAAACCGTTCAGCTGATTTTCTTCAAACTTGATATTCCCTGATTGATCTTAACGGACTGAAGGCTTTGGGAGTTGCCAGCGGATATTTTGATTGTTGATGTTTTTGTTTTTTTACATGAATATGGCATTTACCTTTTTATACCTTTGTCCGAGTTCGACCACGCAGCCCTTTTGTGGCGCAATGGTATGAGTGCCGGCACGTCAAATCTGAGGATTTGAGTTCGAGTATCGGACCAGAAAAATAATTAGCTGCTTGACAACCCTTTTGCAAGTTATGTAGTAGTGCAATTTTACGGAGTTATTAGAAACAATTCGAAAAAATACACGCTTTGATAACATCACTAGTTTAAAAAACAAATATAACTTCATCTTGAACATTTGTGTAAACATTATAAAAAATATAAACTTTATTAACTGTTCAGAAAGTGGGTAAATAATTTAAAATAAGGCATATTTGAAAAACTAGTGGTGCTACAAAATAGCACAGTCTTTCTCGTGTTAGTTTTCTATTTCTTTGATATGGGCTAGCTTTTCAGACTTGCCACATACTCTCGCCAGCTGCCATCTATCGATACCGATTAGGTGTTACTGTAAATGCAAAATTTGAAGCTCCTTTTGACAGAAAATATTTTTCGAAAAACTTCATTGGAAGCCATTACGTTAACACAGAAATGCAATAGTGTTTATAAATTGAAACTGTGTATATTAACAGCGTGAGATATATCAAAAAATCACATTTGAGTATTTTTTTAAGAAATAAAAGAATATCTCAAATCAACGCTATGTCGTGTTAAAGAGTACATTTAACGCGATCCGTACAATACGTTTGAAGCTTTTCGAAAACAAAATAGTTCTGTAGCGCAAAAATAGCTTGAAACTTCGCATTTTCAGTAACGGAATTTTCTTAAAAAGGCTCCAAATTTTTCAACAAAAATTTCTTCTTACGTCAATATTTTGAAAGAAATATTTCGATTCTACTGTAAGTCAACCGAACAATTGTGGGGGCGATAGATGGTAGCTGGCAAGAGGATGGGATATAGACGTTCGCCCAATACACATTTTGGGGTCCCCTTATACTGAAAAAGTTTTCTTTACTTCTTCCAATACGTGTGTGCTTCTGTCTGGTGAATGTGAACAACACTAGCGCCTTAACTATGCATTCGATTTTTTCCAAACTGAATAAACCACTGCCGATCTGGCCTGAGCCGAAACTCTGCAATTTTGGAAAACATTCATTCATTTTTGGGGACACTTTACACCAAGCTCACTGGACATTTTAAAAATTTTCTCAAAAAGGCTCCATTTTTTTCTTTTAAATTTCTTGTAATAAAAAAGAGTGAAATACATTTGTAAAGACGGCATAGGTCCGATTTTCACTGATAACTCTGAATGTTTGTTTGCGAACTGATCCAGATTTTTTCTTTAACTTTTGTGATAGATAGTGTTAAATGTACTCCATAAAATGACAAACGCTATTTTACTCTATTCTTTTGTTGGTTTTTTAAAAAATTACACAAATGTATTTTTTGACTTGCTCTCATGACGTTAATATTTATATTAGAGGCGATTTGTTCATATTTATGAGCACTTATGAGCACATCTGCTTTAAATGATGTCAAGTTTCGATAACAACAGTTTTTTGTGAAAATGAACTCAAATTTCCACATTTTCAGTAACACTCGAACACCATTTTATGAAAAAGTCTCCCTACTGTTTACCAAACTTATATGCTCATTTTCGGTAATTTGTATACATTATTGCATCTGTGAGTGGCAGTGTTTCAAACGACTTCAATAAAGTTTTTCGAAATCTCAATAGTTTTCTGTGAAGAAGAGCTTGAAATTTCGCATTTATAGTAAAGACCCATTCACAATGCAAACGTAAACATAAGCATAGACATAAACATTAACATAAGTAATAGACTGAAGTATTCACAATGTCTAACATAAATATAAGCAAAATAAGAGTTTCTATTGGCAGTGAGACATTCTGGTTTACTATTGGTTGGATGTGAGAATAGATTTCAAGGTATCGACTGTGTCCATGGCCCATATGGCGTTAATTCTTCTATCGACTTCGCTCCGATTTCGATTTTGAGTTACCGTTCTGTGATTGGTTCATTTCTTATGTTTTACTTAAGAATAAGCACAGAAGCTTGAAGCTCGTACGTTAACGTCTTACGTGGTATGCTTATGCGAACGCATTGTGAATGAGTCCGCTTATGGACGTGGTCCTAACTTTTATGTTAACGCCATGCTTATGTTTATGTTTGCATTGTG